GGGGCACAAAGACCTCAGAAGCACTGAGTCCTTCTGGTGGGTGGAAGGCTCAGCCTTTGCGTAACTCCCACCCTTAGTCCGGGTTTTCTTTTGCCAGGAGGCAAACTACTCCAGAGTTGAGTGGGGTGGGGCTAGGGGTAGCAGTGGAGGTGAGGAAGTGGGTGATTTGGCAAGTGGGGCGAGGGGGCAGTAGAGGGCAGCAGCAGGTGGGAGGGGTCCTGGCTGGGGCTGTGTTGGCCACTGGGATGATCCTGAATACCCAGTGCAGCCTGGGACTACTAGGATGGTTTCCCTCTTCCACCGCCCTAAGAACCCGGAACCTGGATCCCTAGGGCACCTCACATGTACACTCAGTCCAGAACCAGGTTTCTGGCTTCGCAGTGGAGAAGGCAAATTGCCCCGTGGGACTCAGGGGCATGCCCCGTGCCCACCCCCCCGAACATTCTGGTCTGCACCAATCTTGGGTGGAGTTCAACAGCCAGGGAAATCTCACTGGTGTCCAGAACACCTCTGGGTGGGTATCTGCAGGTGACAAGCAGAGACTCTGGTCTGCCCCTAGGCACTTGCAGTTCAGGGACAGACACAGTCTCCACCCTAGGAGTCACGGGCCACCTAGGTCAGAGGAGCTATTTCCCAGCCACATATCGGAGGCTTCCTGTGTGTTGTGCAGTGGGTGGGGGAGATCTGTGAGCCTAACCTCAAAAGGGCTACAAGTACTGGAACAGTCCAGATATCAAGGATGTCAGGAGTGGAAGAGCTGAACAGAAACTGCTGGTGCTTCATCCCAGGAAGGTGGAGCCTATGGCAGGTAGGGGAGAATGGGAGAAGTGAGGTGCCAGGAGCCCCACTGTAAATTGCCAGTGGTCGGGTGTAGGGGTGAGGTGGCTGCAGAAATCTGGGCCGACAGGAGGGCAGGTGCCAGGCAGTGACTTTATGTGGGACCTAAGGCAGTGCTGGGACTCAGGCCCAGCTCCCTGGTCTTGAGGCTACTGTGGCTCCCAGGGATGGGAGCTTCATCTCCTTACAAATCCCATCCTTGCCTCACTACACACAGCTCTAATAATTCCTGCCCTGTAGTACTTGTGCACTTTACCTTGTCCACACCCCCCAGCATCCCACCCCACTGACAGGGGCTGACAGCTCTGGATGCTCTTGCACACTCAGGCACATGGCCGCACACCCAGACACACTCGCTCACCTCAGGCTCATACCACACTCAGGAAGGCCCCTAACTGGTCTAATTCCCAGCAGTGACCTTGCCGCACCCGCCCCTCGCCCCTCCCCGTTCTAGCTTCCCGACTTTGGTGGGGAAGGGGCACCGGAACGCAGGGCAGCTGAGAAGGACCGGGCGGAGGAGAGCCACGGCCCTCCCGGTGTCAGCTCCCTTGCCGCTGTCCCATTAATCACAGTGCCGCAGTCCAGTTGGGGATCCCGGGCGCCCAGGGCCGCCCGCAGCCCCCGGGACAATGGGATTATTTCCGGGGGGAGAGGCCGCCTCGGGCCGGAGCTCAGGCGGAGACGCCTCCTTCCCTCAATCCGTCCCTCGGCACCCAAGGAGCGCCTGCGGCGGCCGGAGACGGGTGGCAGAGCGGACGCGGGTGGCGCGCGGGTGGCAGGGCCGGGCCGACCTAATTCAATTAGTTGGGCCGCCGTCGCCTCCGTGCGACTCCGGGCCCGCCGGGACTCCAGCTCTGGGCAGCTGCTCTTTGTGCGCGAAGACCATGCATATGGATGCGGTTCATCCCCCTTCGGCGCTCACCCCACCCACACCCACTTCTGGCACCTGCGGCTTGCCCCGCACCCCCCCAACTCCTTCCCCGCGAGGGAAGGCGACCGTGGACTCCCCAGGAAAGTTGGGAAACTGTGGTTGCTTTTGAGCTCCCTGTGGCCGTCTTCAGAGTATGTGTGAGAGGGAAGGGGGTGTTTTTGTTTTGTGTTTTGTTTTGTGTTATCTGAGCAGGAAGATCGGTGTGGAAGTGAGCATGCCTGGAAGCCTGTAGGAGTGTGGTTGGGTGTGTCTGTGTGTACCTGTGCACCAGCGACCCTAGGGCTGTGTGCATGGAGGGAGAAGGTTTCGTTTGGCTCTGGATCTGTGCTGCAGAGACTGAGTGGGGTGGGAGTGTTTGTGGGCATCTGCACATGGGTGCATAAAGGAGGTTTTGTGGGCACCTGTGGGGACTGCACACCGAGGAGTTTCTGCGTGTTCGTGTGCAAGGTGAGTGGGCATCTGTGCGTCTGCGTGTGAGGGTGTTGCCTCTGTGCCAAGCCTGTGTCTGGAAGTCTTTGGGAGTTGGGTATTTCTGTGTGTCACCATTGGTGTATATACTGTGCTTTAGTGTGCAGTCAGGACACCATGGGGAACATGTCGACCTCCCCGCCACACTACCACCGGCCAGCAGCTGGGTCTCCCCAGCTGAGGCCATTTTCTCCACCACTCCCCACCCCGCCTTGCTTTTCTGGTGGAGGAGGAGCTTGGCAAGTTAATATAAAACCTGAACTCCATCCACCAGGCTCCGGGTGGAGGCAGAGGCCTGGGTAGCCAGTCCCTCTCATCTTGAGGGGGGGTCCCAGTCGGTTTTCCACACACAGCATAGTCCAGCTCCGGCTCAGCGGGAGCCTGCAGCTTCCAATGTGCAAACAGTCCTGAGCACCCCCTGAAACAACTTAGACCTGCCCATGTCAAGGAGGCCCTAGCACCTAGGAGGGACTGCATGACCCCCACCTCCATGTCTTCAGCCACAGTTCAGGACTGGGTCCCCTGGGAGGCTGGGTTTCCTGTGCTTGGGCCTCTCCACCCACCCTTACTCTGAGGCCAAATCTGCACCCCCAGCAGAGGCAAGGAATTGAGATGAGAAATCTGGGTAGAGCTGGCCACTGCAGGGCCATCACCCACCCAGCTGGAAAGTTTGCCTCATTCCTGTTTTACTGTGCACAGGCAGAGTGAGGGATCCGCATACCTGTAGAGGTCCTTTCTGCAGACTGCAAAGGGAGCTTGCCAACCCCAGAAGGGAATAAGATGGCTCTTAGAAGGCAGAGGGGCCCTCAGAGGGCTGGTCCCACAGCTGGCTGGTGCTCTCTTGGCTTCTTTTCCCTCCCCCACACCTCAGTACAGGGCTTGGCTTCTGGACCCAGCACAGACCCACCTGGCCAGTAGAGTGGAGCCAAGGGAGACACCAAGGATGAGAGAGGTTGGGGCCGGTCCACAGCCCTGGGTCCTAGGCTCAGCTTCCCTACTGATGGGACTCACTGATGGGGCTCCTAACTCTGTGCCCAAGGAGCCCTTTGAGAGCCGTCTGGGGAGAGCAGGGCCCTGGGGGTCTGTTCTTCCTTGAACCTTCTCTTAGCCCACTCCTTACCTGCCCCTTTCCAGGTTTCTGGCATCCTTGGAGGTGACTCAGGATGGGAGATTCCCTAATCAAGGCCACCATGGTCAAGACAGTGCTGGGTGGGTGGTGGAACCTGAGGGTCTCTGGGCCTCCCTTGGGAGGGAATTAGTCAGAGAGAGGCCCGAGGCCTTAACTCAATGCCCAGGGGTAATGAGGCCAACAGGTTCCTTTAGGGTAGAAGCCAAGCAGGAAGGGGAGACAGTGAAGGGAAGGGATCCCTACAGAAGCACCCTATTTCTGAAGCATCCGCCTGCTGGGCTCTGATTGAGAGGAGTGGGCAGGGGAGGAGAAGAAAATTGCTTACCCCTACACAAGGTGACAGCTAAGTGTGGCCTACAGCAGGGACATGTCTGTCTCCTGTCCGTCTGTCCTCTATCCATTCAGGGTCTGTCCACTGATGGGAAAATGTGTGCCTATCCATTGGTGTTGGAGAGGTCTTCCATATCTTATGTAAGAATTGGGTGGAGGGATGGGGGGCTGGCCTTGGAACACCCCCCCAACCCTGAGGACTCGTTGAGCTGAGTCACTTGACCTACTCACTCCCCCCACCTCCTCAATCTAGGCTCCTAGAGACCCTCCTCCCCATCCCAGGGCTTCTGGAGTTAGAGTGCCTTTTACCGGGTCTTTAAGTCCCTAAGTCACTATAGGTGATTCTGCCTTTCCCATAGTAGGGAAAGTTTTCTGCCCCTTTTTTGAGACAAGTGGGAAGGCAGAGGGAACACCTTTGGTACTAGGAATGCAAACCCCATTGGCAGCACCATGGACCGTGTCATGTTATACATCCCCTTACATATATCTCAGTCCCCTTTCCCTACTATATATCTATTGGGTATACCCTGTGTCCCCCTCCCCATGACCACAGGCCCATGCAGGGCCACTTCTCTGACAATTCCATTGGAATAAAAGACATCCCTCCCATGGTACACGCTATCTGCAGCACGCAGTTGTAGCAGAGAGATGCCCTCATCCCATCACAGGCACTCACTACAGAGAAACAGTTGTAAACACATACTCATCCTGTTGCAGAAAACACATTCACTTGCATTCTCACTGACACATACATCCTCACATGACAAAATCCAGTTGTGTAAAATACCCAGATTCTCTTTTTTTCCTCCAACGCTCTTACCGACATGCATTTTGCTTGCAGTTGTATCCCAACAGCCTAACACAGTGCCTGATACATACTAGATGCTCTATAATTATTCATTGAATATATTGTTAAAATTGTTTCTTAAAGACATGCCCAGGACATCTGCACAGCCCTCTCAACCCTGACTGTCACACATGCTTTCCCATCCAGCTTTCCCCTCATGGATGCATGGTCCCACAAACACAAAGTAATTACGTTTCCACACATAACCGTAAGCTAAAGGACAACCCCTGGCCCGGGGGTCTCTTTCAGAGCGGGGAGGAGGAGATTGTGTGGGATCCAAAGGGGCCTCCCCCTGGGCTGAGCCCATCCTTTCCTCCTCCCCCAGCCCTGCCCCGGCCCCAGCTGCTCTTCTTTTAATTGGAGGCACTTTTTTATTCTGCAGGCCAGGGAGAGCTGGTGCTTGGGGGAGGGGTGTTACCAGGTGGCCTCAGAACCAGAGAGAAGGATCTGCAACTCACCTAGGTTCCTGCAAGATGGTCCTATGAGGCAAGAGCCAAGTTTAGGCTTAAGGGAAGCAGCTTGTAGTGAGTAGAGTCAGGAAAGCAGTGTTTGCGTCTGGTCTGCCCCTTTCCAGCTTTCAGTGCCTTGGTTTTCTCATCTGTAAAATGGGGATAACATTACAGGATTAAAGATGAGTGGAGAGATCATTCTTCCAATTGAAGGCGGCTCACACATGGCAGGCGCTCTGTGAGTCCCGTTTTCTTCCCCTCCCTCCTCGTTCCTATCAGGGCTGTTTTACAAGGCATGCAAAAGCACGGGGGAAACACAAGCTGCAGCGAATATAAACTTGTGTGAGTCTCCTCTCCTATTTCAGAAAACTTCCCAACCTTGCAACACCGTGCTCAGGTAACACTGCTCCTGGGAGAAGGGGTGGGGGCCACAGCCCAGCAAATCCTGACCCTCCAGTCTCATCTTTCTAGGTAAGGAAGGGACAGAGAGGGTAGTCTTGGCCCTCAGCAAATACCCTGTTGGAAGACAAAGGCTGAGATTAAGCTGACTCACACAACCCCAGCACCTCATTGAGGGTAAAAGTTAGGGGTATCCCCAATTGGGATAAAAGTTGACTCTGATAAGCAGAAAAGGTGGGAGGGGAAAAAGGAAGAAATCAGTTAAGGAAGCGGCTATGATAGCAGGGGAAGGTCGGTATATCCCTGGGCTGCTGGATTTTAATGAGAAGAGCTTGACAGTCACAATGGTCCATGTACAAGGTAGTGGTGACCTCTGCCAACCTTAAGTTAGGCCAGCAAGGGTAAAGTCTCCTCCCAAGTACCCTGAACAACTGGCGCCAGATCTGAGGAGTTCAAGAGGTGGATCAGGCAGATGCCAAAAGGGTTGGAAGGCCATCTGAGCTGGAGATGTGCACATGGAAAGATTGGGTTTTTTTTTTTTTTTTTAGTCTTGTAAATTTTACCTTCAACCAACTCACACCAAAGGATGTGGTTTTAACTGCAGCAGGTAAAACGGTGGTGAGACTAAAAGGAGTGAGGCCACTAGGACCCAGCCTAAAAAAAAGCTGCAGTACCCCTCCCCATAGTTTTCAGCCTCAAACAAGGAAAATAGCTCAGGTTTTGAGATTCCAGATCAGTCTTCTCTGTCTATGGAACTTGGAGCAAGTTTATTCTCTTCACTGAGTCTCAGTTTTCATTTTCTTTTTAGAAATGGGGCATTGCTCTGTTGCCCAGGCTAGAGGTGCAATTATAGCACATTGCAGCCTCGAATTCCTGGCCCCAAGTGATCCTCTAGCCTCACCCTGCGGAGCAGCTGGGACTACAGACACAGGCCACTGCACCCAGCCATTTTTCTCTTTTTAAAAATGAGATAAAATTCATATGCTACAATATTCAGCCCCTTTAAAATGCACAATTCAGTGGGTTTTAATATTTTTACAAAGTTATGTAACCATCCAGAATGTTTTCATCACTCCAAAAGGAATTCTGTATCCGTTAGCAGTCAATTTCCATTCCCTGCTGCCCCCAGGCCCCAGAAACCACTAACCTACTCTCTTGCCTCTGTGGATTTGCCTATTTGGGGCATTTCATACAAGTGGAATCATACAATATGTAGCCTTTGTGCTTGACTTCTTCACTAGCAGAATAGTCTCCTAGGTTCATCCATGTTATAGCATGAACCAGCATTTCCCTTCTTTTCCTTTTTATGGCTAAATAATATTCCATGTGTGGATATACCAAAATTTTGTTTATCTATTCATCAGTTGATGGACCTCTGAATTGTTTCCCCATTTGGGCTATTATGAATAACACTGCCATGAACATTCATTCAATTCTCTCAATTATAAAAAATTGGGACATTTCTATTAACTTCCCAGGGTTGTTATAAGTCTTAAATGAGATAAGTACGATGTGGTACCTGGCACAAAGCTGTCTTTCAGTAAACAATTTATTTCTGCTTTAGTTCCCTCAAGATAAGAGCAGGAAGAGATTCATTCAGGTTCAGACGACTTCCAAAGTAAGTTATGGAAGTCTCTGGGTAGGGGTATAGTACCTGGATTCGGTAAGTGGGAAGAAGAGAACTGGTGAGGGAGCAGAGCCCTTCATGTTTCTGCTTAGTGTTTACAAACAACTGCCAATTTCACATTTGGCTTTGTCTTGAGTAGGCCTTTGTCCACCTGGCTGGAGCTCAGACAAGGTTTCTCCACAGATATGAACTTCCAACCAGCACCTAGGTCTCCAGGCTAACCAAAAAAGCAAGTTGAGTCTAGCTCCTCCATATTGATCCACAGCAATCATAGCTATTGTGAAAGGTGCTTTCCTCACATCTGTAAAATAGAGAGAATACTCATCTTGAAGGATTGATGTAGAGTTTATATTGTTCTCCATAATGCTTAATAACATCTGCCTTGTATTTGCTTCTTTGGATATTGTCTGACCCCCTCTATAGAATGTAAGCTTCATGAAGTCAGGACCTTTGTTTTGCTCACTGCTATGTCCCCCGTGCCTAGAACAGTGCCTGACACAGTGAGTACAGTACTCAATAAATATTATTGAATAAAGAGATACATTCACTTGTTATTCCCCAAGATGAGCATATTTTGTTGTTTGGGGCTGTATTCTTCAGGAGAGAACAGAAATGAATAAGCCACTCTCTGTCTCCAAGATCTCTTCAAGTGGAGGTGACAGACATGCCCAAAGCAAATAGATTGCAATAAGACTTGATGAGGAGAGAATGTGAGTCTTCACATCCTAGCATCTTTCCAAATAGAGACAGGGAGTACTCAAAAGTCTAATCTGAAACTGAACTGAAATAGACCAGAAATAGATCCCAAGCGATGGAACCTGTGCCTTTCCCAAAACTTGACTTCTAAAAGGTAGCAAACATTTTCTACTGGAGAGGGGGAAGAGAGGAAGAAGAAAAAGGGAGTTTCCTCCTTTTCTCTTGGGCTGTCAGCCAGACTGCCACTGGCAAAACGTTGGAAAGGCCTAAATTTGTCCTGGATGCACTTTCCTGATCCTAGTCCCACCAATCCCAGCCCCTACAGTCTTAAGCCCCTATGGCTTCCTCCCAAGATTCCAAAAGTAAGAAAATAACACACACCACAGTCCAAAGTCTTCTTGCCTGGAATAGCCAACCCTGGGGTAATTGTTAGGTGGAAAGCAATCTGGTTGAATTCATTCAAACACTGTAGGAATTGCCTCTTTCAAACCCTGTAGGATTTTACTTCTTGAGGCATCTGTTTATTCAAAAGGAAAGGCGTGTGTTGAGGCATGGGCACCCTGGCAGCAGACCCCAAACCAACCCTCTTGACTTGTGCCTGCCTTTCAGGAAATGTTCCCTTCCTGAATTTCTCTAAGAAGGCTGAGTTGGGGGATGGTTGCTGATTTTTATAACATATAGCCAGTTGTTCATAGGCCTGTGTTTTAAAGAAGGACAAGCCTGAACTCACCGTCCTGCCTCAGGGCCTGGGCTCCATACCTGGGGAGTAGACAGTCTTCTACTTTCTAACAAGCTGGACTTGAAGTTTGGAGTAAATCTCCTGGTTGAGTGACAGGTGTTTCCCAGTTGAGCCCTTGGGGAGATTCTCCAGTTGGGCAGGGACATCCCTTCCCCAGACGCCTTGTGGGCTGGACTCCTTTGACCCGGTTCAAAGTGAGGGGATGCCTACCAACAGGCCGGGAAGACAGTTGACTTCACCCTCCTTGGGTTTGTCTGTCTGTCCGTCTCTGGGAATGGTCGCTTCTTGTTTTCCCTTTTCCTTTTAAGCGTCTCCTTTTTCCCCTCTTCTCTCTCCTCATGAACTACTCCGAGTCTTGGTCTCCGTCTCTCTATCTCTGGCTCCTGCATCTGTCTCGGCTTCTGGCCTTCCTCTCCCCCTCCCCTCCCCTCCCTCGCGCTGTCATTCACCCCGCTCCTCTCCGCGCACAGCCAATGGAGAGACCCGGCCGAAACCGCGAAGCTCTCTTGCACCGGGCTTTTTCGCCTGGTGATTGATGTCCCAGAGTCAACAGCCAGCGAGCCGGAGCCGGGAAGCAGAAGCCAGAGAGGGGAAGAATAAGGCCCCCCTCTCTCCCTCCCCTCCCCCTTCTACTTTAGCCCTTCTGCGCACTTCGCTTCCAAGTCTCCGCGCAGCCAGGAGCCGCTGTTGCCTCCCAGCCCCTGCTAGCTGCCCCCGAAGCCGAGCGCAGCGAGCGCCGCCGCCCGGGCCCCCCAGTGGGGCCGGGGCTAGCATGGAGCACCTGGGACCGCACCACCTCCACCCGGGCCACGCAGAGCCCATCAGCTTCGGCATCGACCAGATCCTTAACAGCCCAGACCAGGGTGGCTGCATGGGGCCCGCCTCGCGCCTCCAGGACGGAGAATACGGCCTTGGCTGCTTGGTTGGAGGCGCCTACACTTACGGCGGCGGGGGCTCCGCGCCCGGGGCTGGGGCTGGAGGAGCGGGGGCCTATGGCACTGGAGGTCCGGGCGGCCCCGGAGGCCCCGGCGGCCCCGGAGGCCCGGCAGGCGGCGGCGGCGCCTGCAGCATGGGTCCGCTGGCCGGCTCCTACAACGTGAACATGGCCTTGGCGGGCGGCCCCGGTCCTGGCGGCGGCGGTAGCAGCAGCGGCGGTGCGGGGGCACTCAGCGCTGCGGGGGTGATCCGGGTGCCGGCACACAGGCCGCTCACCGGAGCCGTGGCCCACCCCCAGCCGCTGGCCACCGGCTTGCCCACCGTGCCCTCTGTGCCTGCCATGCCAGGCGTCAACAACCTCACTGGCCTCACCTTCCCCTGGATGGAGAGTAACCGCAGATACACAAAGGACAGGTTCACAGGTGAGTCCGGCCTGCGCGCGCGCCTCGCCTGGCCGCGGCCCGGGCTCTGTGTTACCCTTTCCCCGCCGGCTGGCTCCCCAAAGCCGGTTCTGTGCGCCAGGTCGCCCAGCTCTTCTTGGTGCTTCCCCCAAGTTGAGCCGCCCGCCCGATTCTACATCGCAGACTCGCCATGCTTGAAGAGTTCTCTCAGCCTGGACCCCTCTCTGTCTCCCAAAGGACCCCTGCTCAGAGAAGCTCTCCCTGGTCCCCTCTCGGGATCCCTGGGCCCGGTCAGGCAGAGAAGAAGGCCATAGATTGAGGACCACCTTCTGCAGCTACTCCGGGTCCGGGAATCTTAGAGAAAGGGGTGCAATGTGAACAGTTTCTTCCGTCCTGGCTGCAGTTCTAGGACCGAAGAAGCCAGCCCCAGGATCAGACGCAAGAAAAGAACAGGTTCCCCCACCTTCGGTACCCTACACACATGCACTCCGCGCTCCTAGCTCCGGTGCCCGTGGTGCTGCGGGGCCAGCGGGGGCTCTGAGCTCCAGTAAATCAGCAGAACCAGTGGCCCTTTTTTTCCCAGAGAGGAGGCTTCGTCTGGGAGGATGGCAGCGGGGCATAGCCGCCCAGGACAGCTAGCTTTTCATTTTCGTTCTGTCCGGGCTGCGTGTCCTACCCCGGGCCCAGCCCTGTTATCTTGGGCATGAATAATGCACCGGGCAGGCCAGTGATCGGTGGCGGGAGGACTACTCCCGGGACATTAGGTACTAGGTGGTGGCCGCTGCTGCCTTCTCTGCTGCCCACTCCTGCCTTCCTCTGCTGGCCCTGGCTCCCTCTGCTGCCGTTTCTGCTCTGGGCACTCAACTCTCCCTCTGGTGTGGGTCCCTTCCCCTGTTCTCACTTCCTGCTCCCCTTAGGACTCCCTGGATCCCAGACCATGATCCTCCCGTCCCGGCTGGGAAGCAGCCACAAATTGAGCCCAGGTTAGCCAGCTGGCCTTAGAGAAAGGAGGCAGGAGACACTGGCTGCTGCTGGCAGAGACCGGGACTCCTGGGGATCCCCTGGCTCAAGGGCCCAACAGTGGAAGGGGGTTATATATAACTACTTGGGAGAAGCTGTTGAGAGTCAGACACTCGGCCAGGAGACCCCGAGGCACCCCTGACTCCCTGCTTCTGTTCCAGGCAGGAGCACGGTCAGGGAAACTGCTCCTGCAGCTTCTTACCAGACTCTGGGGCCACAGCAGAAGTGGTGTAGGGGCTGGTGTCCAGACGAAGAACAGTTGCTTGGGTCTAGACCTCAGGAAGGGCCCTCGCTGGAGGGGCCCCAGTGCCCCCAACCCAAGTTTTCTCTGGCCTGGGGCAGCAGGGCCTGGTGCCCATCCCATTCCCCACCCAGGCCAGGCCAGTCTTGAAGGGCCCTGCTGGAACCCCAGCCGAGAGTCTACTAATCCTGGGCCTCTGGTGAAAGGTACCCGGTTTAGGGCCTACCTCGGGGCCCTAATACTGTGTCAGGCATGAAGGAGTTTTGAGCGAGTGTATGGCTGTGGCCTTGTGTTGCTCTGTGTCCTGTGTTTTTGTCCCGTGCCTGTGCTTGTCTGGTCCTGTTTGGGTGTATAGATCTATGAGTTTGCCCCCGTTGTACGTTGTGTTGGTGTGTGCTGCTGTGGACAGAGGCTCAGGTCGGGTTCCAGAGTCAGGTTCGGTCTCCTACTCTGAGCCTGAAGGTCTGGGGCTGACTGAGGGGAGGGGAGCGTGACCATTAGCTCGCCTTAGACTGCCCCTTGGAGGAGGGGCGGCAGGGAGGTGGTTGGGCTCGCGGGAGCCCGGGGCTAGGGAGGCCTCCGTGGTAGCTGCGAAGGCGGCGTCGGACTGGCGGCAGGAGGGGGCCGTTTCCCGCCGTGGGCTTGGTGCTGAGGGCTAACGGGAGGATCTCGGTCCTGCTCGTGGGAGTTCAGCTGCTGCGCTCGCTGATTCGCGGGGTGTTGGGCCTGGGACGCTTCCTGACGCTCTGCTGCTTGCCTCTGCCGTCTGTCTGTCTCCCGCTCCAGTGGCCCTCTCACCCTTCACTGTAACACGCCGTATAGGTCACCCCTATCAGAACCGGACGCCCCCCAAGAAGAAGAAGCCGCGTACGTCCTTCACACGCCTGCAGATCTGCGAGCTGGAGAAGCGCTTCCACCGCCAGAAGTACCTGGCCTCGGCCGAGCGCGCCGCCCTGGCCAAGGCGCTCAAAATGACCGACGCGCAGGTCAAAACCTGGTTCCAGAACCGGCGGACAAAGTGGAGGTGAGCAAGCTGGGCGGGCCGGCAGCCCGCGAGCGGCGCGGTCTCAGGCAGCTGTCGGTTCGTGGCCTTTTCTGGTGCGCACACACTTTCTCCGCTCGCGGTTTCTGATCCTTTCGGAGGAGCGAGCTCCCGCTAGGTTTGCGGGGAGCTGGAAGCAACGGAGGCAGGCCGATAGCTGGGATGGGGCTGAAGGGCCCTGGCTCTGTTTTACCAGAGGCTTCAGGGCTTTCTGGCTGGCACACTCTCTGCCGGTGTAGATGCGGCAGGTTTCTTCCGCCGCTTTGGCAAACAGGCGGGTTCGTGCACTCCACGCAGTCCAGGCTCCAGGGATCTGTGTGTCCTGGGGAGTTTTTTGTTTGCGCAAACTCTTGCTTATGGAATCCTGCTCTGTCCCGGAGACTGCATGCAGATCGGCCCGCACCTTGTTGCAGCGCTCCAACCGGGCTCTCGGCAGAGGGTCTGGGGGCCCCAGACCGCGGCCGTGTTGACCGTCTCCTCCCCAGACGCCAGGCTTTTGCGCCGCCGGTCCCTACCCTGGAAGGAGAAAATCAATCCGCGCCGGCTGCGGCGGGGTTTGGCGGGTCCCACTGAAAGGGGAATCAATTAGGAGCAGATGGGTGTGTGTGAGAAAGAGAATTTTCCCTTCTCCCATAGCCGCAACTCCAGTTACTACGCACTGGGTTTTTTGTTTTGTTTTTTCACATTTACGCTCAAGGACATGAAGCGTCCCCAACACTCCCAAGCAGCCTCTCTCTTCGCGCGCACTGACGCTTTCTCGGGCTGCTCCCTCTGGCACGCTGCACCCTCCCGCACATCTGGCCCTTGCCCGCCGGAGTTTCTCCCCTAGCTCAGGCCCAGTGCGGCAGCGCGGGAAAGTCTGGGCGAAGTCGGCGGCGCCGAGACGGGCGGGCCTTGGGGCAGGAGGAAGGAATTGGAGTTTCCTCTTTTTCTGAACGAAGGCGAGGAATCTGCCTGGGATTCCGCCTACGGGGCCACAAAGGAAGCCATGGTCCCGCGATTCTACCGCACCCCACAGCATTCCTGCCGCTGGGGAAGGAGTGGGGGGTGCGGCCTCAGACCTTGGAACCCTAAAGAGGGAGCCAGGGCTAGCTCAGGAGTTGGGGGGGACTCCGGTTTCCAAGGCCTACTGAGGGCTGCAGGCCTAGGGGAGGAGAGGCAGCCTGGCAGGCCTCCCAGAGAGAGGGGCACAGAGAAAGAAAGAGGCAGGCAAAGAGAGAAACTGAAACACAATCAGTTTCAGGGGTGGGAAGGGATAGGGAGCCCGCTGAAGGAAAAAAAGGAGGAAAACAGGCAGCCTACAGAAGTCTTATTTATGTATAATAAAGAAAAGCAATGGATGACTGAAATCAACATATTCTTTTCAAACAAATTCCTTTAATTCAGAGAGAACCAAGTGGGTGGGGAGGAGAGAAAATGAGAGAGAAGACACAAAGCATAAAAGAGAAATATTCAGGCCGTTTGAAATGCAGGGGAAAAGGGAAAGACGAAAGACAGAAAGATACACAGTCAAGAAAAGGCGGCCCAGAGCAGGTCAGCAGCCGCTGCTGAAAGAGGCCCTTGCAGGCTTCGCATGGCTTCATCGATCGCCTACAAATTGCTTCTGAAGGCCCCGGGGACTCCCATTAGGTCTGTCCACCTTAGAGACAGACGTTTGATCTCAGTTGACAGGGTGGAGGGGAGGCATTAAATGGAATAAGTGAGTCATTGCCTCCCTGAACTGCCTCAGAGGAAGCCAGTGGGTCCAGCAGGAGCCCCTGCAGGGCACAGGGCTCCACACAGAAGGCCAAAGGCCTAGAAGACATTCGCAGAGAGAGGGAGGCAAGAGACGTCCCGCAGAGCAGATCGTAGCCGCTGGTCCTTGCCTCTCTACCCTGGACTTGTAGGTAGGGTGAGGGCCCTCCGGCTTGGAATGGCACCTGGTCTCCCTCAGGGCGGGGGGGGGGGGGGAGAGGCGAGATGCCATCCTACCCCTGGCTGCCCCCTTGTGAGGCCTGCGGGGTGTGGGCGCTGCTCGTGGATGCGGAATCCCAGCTGTTTGGGCCTCGCAGACTTTCCCACCCCTCCTTCTCTGGGATACCTTGGCACCATCCGCTTTGGGGTTTCTAGTCTTTGTTGGAGTCAGGACTCTCAAAAGAAGGGAACGCATTATAGGGGCCCAAACTGGATTTGGGGACTGCAAAGGCGAGCAGCGCTCGTTCAGTTTATCTCCTGGGAACTCACCCGGAGCTGGGCGCACGCGGGAGCCGGGTCGGTGCTCCTGGCAGGTAACGGCTTGTTCCCGGTGCAGACGGCAGACTGCGGAGGAACGGGAGGCCGAGAGGCAGCAAGCGAACCGCATCCTCCTGCAGTTGCAGCAGGAGGCCTTCCAGAAGAGCCTGGCACAGCCGCTGCCCGCCGACCCTCTGTGTGTGCACAACTCATCGCTCTTCGCCCTGCAGAATCTGCAGCCGTGGTCTGACGACTCGACCAAAATCACTAGCGTCACGTCGGTGGCGTCGGCCTGCGAGTGAGCCTGCCCATTCTGCCCTGTGGGACCCCAGGCCCACTCAGGGGTCACTGAGGCCTGAGACCCAGGACTCCTCCCCACCTTTCCTGGCCTCAGACTGCACCCAGGAGGGGAACACTGCCCTCCCACGGCACCGAAGGGCCCCCACATTTGTGCCGACACTGTTCTCTCTTCGGTGGAAGAAGAGCTCAAGCGATAAGGACACGCGCCCCCTCCCAGACGCGTCCCGCACCCATCTGAACTGTTAAGAAATCTCTGTTTTTGTTTATTTCATTTTATTTTAATTTTTAACGTGGGATTCAGAGAGAGGCAAGGGAGGTAGGGGAGGAGGAGCTTCTTAGGTCCCCAGGGCTATCATCTGAATTTGCCCTGGGAAACCCCTTCTCTGTGACCCACTTCTCATCACACACATGGAAACCCATAGGCCCACACAGAGGTGGTGTCACTGTCCCTCCTGGTGTCACCCCAGAGCCACACATGGGCATCTATGGCAGAGTGTCATCCAGACACAGGGTCACAGTGTTTACATATTGGACCTCACGATCAGACACAGGTCACGGGTGACACACACTCATCCTGAATGGCATGGCACTCCCTCCAGCACAAACACAAGGTCAAGGCCACACTGTGGCACACTACACCATACACAACAGCCACAACAGCCTCATTTGGTCTGCCAGGCCCCTACCACACATCCCAGCCCAACCCAGGTATGCACAGACAGATTTTCACATAAATGCAGCCCATTTCTCCAGAACCCATTTGGGGGAGGGTGTTAAGTTATGCACTTATAAGGTGTTTTCTGTGTAACCATTTTATAAAGTGCTTGTGTAATTTATGTGGAAAAAATAAATAAAAGCCTCCGAATCCGGAGTCAGGGCTGCCTGCTCCTTGCGGACCCTAGTGTCCTTCAGCTACTTGGGTTTGGTGTGAGCTGATGCTTCAGGGGCAGCCCTTGGTATCTGAACTTGAGAGACATGTTGAGGGGCAGGACCCTAAGGCTCTGGAGAGAGGAAAGGAGGAGGACAGATGGAGAGAAGGCAGAGTTGAGGAGAGCAGGGAGAGTCAGGCTCTCCTGGGATTGCCAGTGCCTGAGAGGATATGGATTTCTTTGGATGTGAGAGTCGTGTGTGTGTGTGTGTGTGTGTGTGTGTGTGTGTGTGTGTGTGGTGTTTGTGATAATGTGAGCAATCAGCAATGTGAACAAATAGTGAATATTTGTAATGGTATTTAAGTGTATAATTATGTTTGCAATTCTTGCATGTAAATGCTTGTTTCTGCTTAAGTTGCAAATCGAAACTATCATTGAATGCATGGGCTTGTAGTGGTGTGTGTGTGTAACCCTATGCGAATGAGACTGTTTCTTTTTGGGTAATTGTGTAATCAACCATTGTTTGTGATTATGTATGAATCATGTTAATATTTGGGAGAATATGTTTCTCTTTGTAAATCTATTTTTCTGTGAAATATGTGACTGCTTCTGAAGTGGATCATCTTGAATTTTACGGGTGTAATTGTGTGTAAGATGTAATCATGTGTGAGCTGTGCATTTTCCCTGTATTTACTTGTGTGTGACAGAATGTAATTGGGGGAGTCAATGCAGTGGGGAGTGTGGATCATTGTGGGAGACCATCACTGCAGGTGGGTGGGTGTGGTTCTGTATGAGTGTGTGTAATTGTGCGCTGATAGTGTATGTGTTGGTGGGAGTCTGATGTGCGATACCCAGATACATTGTGGTGGGACCACCATCTGCTGAAGATCTGGGGCTCTAGATGCTTACCCAGCAGGCTGCAGAGACTAGAGCACATTGAATCAGGAATTAGGGCCAGGATCCTCTCTGGTGCTCTAAGTGGGACCTACCAGTTCCCAGCACTAGCGTGGCCTAGGAGGGATCTAAAGAACTGACTTTCTGGGGACCTTCAGGGAGCCCCCAGATCACCGTTGCCAGACCTTCAGCCACAGTACACATGCACACAGGCATAATAACAGCCAGCCCCCAGCCTCTTCAAACTATCCTAGACAAGACTGACTTGGGTCTGCTTTTCTGGAAGAAGCTGGGTGGTGGAGGGTCTAGAGAACTCATCGCCCTAGGGGTGAGTTGAAATGGAGGGATAAGAGGCTTTTTCTCTGGCATGGGACAGTGAGAGAACTTTTCAACTGGAAAGTAGAAGTTCGTGGTGTGGGGGCCCCTGGAAGCTCTGCAGAAGTGTTTGCGGGACACTGAGGGTGGGGAGCCACCCTAACCGTCAGAGCCACTGTCCCCCATACCTGCCCCTGCCATGGGGGCTGTGACACAGGTCGTGAGCACAGCAACTTCCCATCCCAGCACGCCCATGGGGGAGTTCGGCCGAGTGGAGGATGGGCTTGGTCATCCACCCCCTCACCTGGGGTCCCCTGGGATATCCGCATGAGAGGGGGCTTCTGTCACTCATTTTGTGTAGACATGAAGAAAAGAGAAAAAAGGGAGGCTTCAGGGTCCGAAGACAGCGGCCAGCCATTCCGCGCCATCCCCACAGGCCCGCGGAGTGCCCAGGTTGGGCCCTGACGAGCTGTGTGGGGCGTAGTGAGAAGGTTCTGGTGGCAGCGCCAGGTCTGCTGCAGGTCTCCCGCATTCACCGGCCGTGGCAAAATCCAGAAATAGCCTCCAGCGCCAGGCCGGGCAAAATCCAGAAATAGCCTCCAGAACCTCAGAAGTCGTCTCCCTCTATCTGGGCAGGTCTGCTCTTCCCTCTGCTCCCGCAGAACTGGAGCCACCGAGCCCGCGCCTTCTTCGCGGGGTGCGGTTTCTCTCCTCTTTTGGACTCAAGATCAATGCTTCCCGGCTGCGCGATCCCACAGCAGGACCCCAGGGGAGACTGCCGCCTTCTTCCCGCCTCCCAGTTTCCCAAGACCGCCTCTAGAGGCTGCTGTGTCCGGAGAACCCCGAGCATTTTCTGGACACAGCCTAACAGAAGAACGGAGGTTGGGTGGGGAGAGGCTAGCCGGCCCAAACACAGCAGCCCCAAGCTGGCTCCCAAACCTGGGCTCTCCAACCCTTCTCCCATTCCCTCTTGAGCAAAGTTAGGCCCAACACCACTGTCCCCCAAAACGCCTCCTACCCTCCCTCCCACTCACCCCCCATCTTCAGGAACGTCATAGGGCTCACACTCACAAACCGCGGAGAGCACATGCAGGCCGGAGCCCTCAGCCCGCAGCTCTCGGACCCTGTCCAGCTCCACCCGGACTCGCGCAGAAGCGGACATTCCGAAAGTTGGGACAATCCCAGCGCTGGGGCCTGGGGCGCCCAGGGCGGGCGGCCTTTGAGCTTCCCAGATGCCGCTCGCCTGCTCCCAGTGCTGCTCGGCCGCCTGCGGCCCGGGTCGTGCACTTTCAGCGGGGCCCCGCTGACGCTCCCGCCCTTGGGCTAGGCCTCCCAGGGGTGCCAGACTCTCGGGGACACTGGGACCTGTGGCGCGGCGGGACACGCAGGACTCCCGTCTCTCCGCCCGAAATTCGTTGAGACCGAATCTCAGTGGATCCCGGGTCCGCCGAGCGCCGCGGCCAGGGAGAAAGGCCTGGGTGGCGGCTGGACCCGCAAACTCCGTCCCACCTGGGGCGGAGGCTGGAGGGGAGGGGGCCTGCGAGAGTCACAGTCAAGGCCAACTACTCACAACAGAAAGCTCGAAACTCTTCCTCCCCTGCCGGAAATGACCGGTCTCTGTTCAGAAATAGAAAAAGAACTATCGGAATAATTGTGTGTAGAGGTGCCGGGAGAGAAGGGGAATTAACAAACCTGTCTGCGCAGAAAGGCCAGCTTCCTTCCTTGGCTTGAGACCCGACGGCAATCACCAAATTCCTGTGGCCAGCGAGCCCTGCCGCTCAGATCTGGCCCTGTGGCTGAGTGGGTGGCGGCCCCAGGGCTGGGGTCCTAGAGGCCCTGTGCAGTGCGGTGGGAGGCACACAGAGAATCTGGCTCAACCTGTTAACTATAATAGCGGCTTTGTGTGGCTGCATCTGTGCTTGGGGGCTGTGTGGCACCTCCTGAGCACTGACTACCCTGTGGTGGCCCCACTACCAGGCAGTTGTGGGGTTTGCCCTGGGCACAGGACTCAGATGGGTGCCCTAACTGTGGAACGACTGACTCGCAGGTGGGCAAGGTAGGTTTCAGGTGCTTGAGACAACTAAGCAAGGACCTCCAGCCAGCTAAAGCAGCTGGGACTCAGCTGCCAGGCTTCAGGGCAGCAGGGAGGCTGTGGCCCTGGGGCTGCCCTGAGGGCCCTTCAGCTCAGGTGCCAGAAAAGACCTCCTCTCTCATGCTTTACTCCTTCTACTGCCCTCATGCCCACTTTCACATCTATGTCACTCCCACACAGCCCCCCAGTCCTGCTCCCTCCCAGGGCCCCCAGACCCTCCAGATCAGCTCAGAGTTTGAAGTCCCACAGCCAGGCTGTTGTCAAGCAATTGGCAGGAGCTGCCACCACGTTCCCTGCGTGGCTCGAAAGGGCCCATCCAATGCCTTCTGCCCGCATTCAGCCCTGGCCTGGTTGGCCCAGGGAAGCCCCTCCCACCCAGGAACCTTCACCTGGATTTCTTATCCTGGAGAATCTGATAGGAAGAGGCTGAGCAGAGGCTGGAGTCAGGTCAGGTTTTCCAAGGACCTCAGAGCAGACTCCAAAGACTGGTTGTGCATGATGGGGGTGAGGGGTGGCAGGTTGGGGTGTGAGGGAGGGCTGGGTGAGTTCCAGGGAGTGGCGGGTTACCTACATTGTGTCGAGGGGTGGGTACAATTCACATGCCCCTGCTCACAGCCTGCATTGCTGGGTACAACCTCACATACCTCCTTCAACTATGCAACAATCAGGGTGTGCAATGTTACACGAGGGGAGCTACAAGTGTGCAGTGCCAGGCACACACACAGCCTTCACTTCTGGCTCAAGCTCACACCCGACCAGGCCTGCTCCTGTAGGTGGTTACCCCTGGACACCCCTCCTCTCCTTCCCTCTTCCCCCACCCCCTAACAGAGGGGAATCTAACTCCATTCTCAGCTGGCCTGGGGGTGGGGGTTGTCTTGGGAGCTGGCTTCAGGTTCCAGGCCTGCAGCTCAGGTGGTAACAGAACCCCATGTGCCCGAGGCTGAGCTTGGGGATAGCAGCAGCCACCCTAGATACTGGCTGAGGACCCTAGCAAGGCCCAGAAGGTCCAGCGGCCGCCACTGCCTGCCCAGAGCCTGGGGAAATCTGGCCTCCTTGTGTGTGAGAAGATTGTGAGGGGTGCGGGGCGGGGAATGGGAGGGCTTCCATTGCGTGCCTCCTTGGGGAAAGGCTTGGGTGGGAGCTGCTCCTGCCCCTCCTGTTTTCTGCCCTACGAACCCAGAGCCCACATTTCTTTGGTTGCTGCCGGAGGAGCCAAAAGACCCAAAAGCTGGAGGCCGCGGCAGCGATTCAGCAGCCACCCAGAAGTGGGAACCGGACCTGGGACTTGGTCACTGAAGCCCAGAACGAGTGAGTTCCGGGCGCCCTCTAGGGGCCGCGCGTGGCAAGGCGCTTCGAGCCGAGGCTCTGGGAGTTTGTATTCTCCGTGGCACCCTCGGAAATGCAGTGGCGGTTGTTACTGAATGGGTTGGAAAATACGAATGGTAATCACACTAGCAAACAATGTTATGGAGCATATGCTGTGTGCCAGGCACTGCACTATGCTTTAAGAGTACTACTTCATGCCTAGCAACCACCTTATGAGGTAGTGTTATTTTTTTCCCTACTTTATACATAAGGAAAATTGAAGTTTAAAGAGGTTAAGCAGGGGCCGGGAGCTGTGGTTTACGCCTGTAATCTCAGCAGTTTGGGAGGCCGAGGCGGGTGGATCAGTTGAGGCCAGGAGTTCCTGATCAGCCTGGCCAACATGGTGAAACCCCGTTTCTACAAAAATACAAAAATTAGCCGGACGGACGTGGCGGCGGGCGCCTGTAATCCCAGGTACTCCAGAGGCTGAGGCAGGAGAATCGCTTGAACTGGGGAGGCGGAGATTAAGCAGCTTGCCTGAGAGCCCGCGGCTGGTAAACAGTGAGGCCAGCATTCCAACCATGAGGTCTAACTCTAGAGACAGGGTCCTTGAGAGGGATGGCCGAGTCCGGGGATGTCATGTATTTAGTGAGAATTGGAGATGAGACCCTACCAGACTCCTGTCAGATTTGGAGGGAGCTCTTAGTCTAGAGGTGGGCAGGATGTTTGCCCTCTAGAGCTCTGGGAAAATCGCCTTCAGTCTCATCCAGTCTTCTGGAACCTTCCTCCCCGTGAGGCGCCTGGCTTCCAGGCCCCACTCTGCCAGGCCTCTGAGGCCACCCCCTCCTCCCCCGCACCGACTGCAAGCCTACACTCTAGGTCTTCCCAGCAGGGCTTGGAGCCTTGCAGGATTGAAAGGGGGTTCCATGCACTTTCACCTCTTCCCCTCCCTCCTCTGGGTCAGGAAGGTGGGAGGACTCAAACTGCCAGAAAGTTAAAAATAGAAGCCAATGAATCACACTTCATTAGACAAAGGAACAGAGAACCAGAAAGGAAAATCCTTCCTCTCCTT